GAAGAAGAAGAAGAAGAAGAAGAAGAAGAAGAAGAAGAAGAAGAAGAAGAAGAGGAGGCCAATTTAAAATCTCTTGAAATTATCCTCAGCCCCCTTGACATTTTCCAGACTGGCCTTGTTTCACTTTTAATATCTGAACCGTCTTGTGAATGCTGTGAGGCGTGGCTTTTTGGCACAGCTGTCTTTGTTTTTTTGTTTTGTTTTTTCCCTGACTTAGTCCTTCTGTCTATATAACATTGCATCCTGGCTGTTTGAAATCCCTACTGAATTTGGAGGAATTATGTCTTGGCATCTGGCCTACTTCCCTAGAACACGATGTGATATTGTCAAACAAGGGCCAGTCATTCCACTCGACAATATGTTTGTCTCATTCCCAGCACTTGCACATTCAGTGGCTAGTGAGAACAGAATGGAAAGCTGTGCTTGCCATAGTTTGCTGAGTTTCCTGCCTGACCACATTACTTTTACAATGTCACTTGTGAATAACTTGATCAGATTAGGGCGAATCATGTGGTTGGCCAATAGCAACTGGAAGGATTCTCCAGCGTCACTTTGTTGCACTATTAGGAAATGTATCCAGAGAGACCTGCCCAGTGCTCACTGCCAATGTTCCTCTCTCTGTGTTCCTGCTGTCTAGTTCATGAGATGAGATGAGCTCAGACTGTTCGAGCAACTCCACCTGCTCTGCCAACAGCATGGAGAAAGAACTGCCGGGGATAATGGAGGGTCGTGGGACCCTGAAGCTTGTTTTCACCGTGGTGTCAGCTGTGATGGTGGGTCTGGTCATGTTCTCTTTCGGATGTTCTGTGGAGATTCGGAAGCTGTGGTCACACCTCAGAAGACCCTGGGGCATTGCCGTTGGACTGCTCTGCCAGTTTGGGCTCATGCCTGTGACAGGCTATCTGCTAGCCATTGGCTTCTCTCTGAAACCCTTCCAAGCTATTGCTGTCCTCATCATGGGGTGTTGCCCTGGGGGCACCATCTCTAATGTTCTCACCTTCTGGGTTGATGGAGATATGGATCTCAGGTAAGTCACAGTAAGGAAGCTCTGTGAGGTTTCCTGGTCTGCCTGGGAGTCAAGGACACTTTGGTGCAAAATCTTGTAATCTCTGGGTAGCTCTGAGTGGAAAGTACTACAAACATCACCAATACTTGGGCAGCCTTTCTCAGCTCCAAGCTCACTCTGCTGTCATCAGCTTCTGCTTTCTTGGCAGCTTTTCCTGTCCTGAGTCATGGATGGGATGTGGTTCATATGCAGAGATGACATTTCCCAAGCATGCGCTCATTCTATGCCTGTTGGCATCTCTAACCATAATTTGCCAGGACAGCACCAGAATTCCATATAGCCAATGATAGTGATGGGAATGGTAGCAAGATATATACTCAGAATGAAGCCCAATGTGGCCCTGTTCTTTTCACTTGTCTCTTTTGCCCACATCTCTCTCAGCACTGTCTCCATGATGTCCTTCTTCAGAAGCAATGTTTTGAGAGCCTGCATGAAGGACTCCAGGGCAGCAGATAGACACGATGATAAACTGACTCATTGCATTTGTCTCCTTTAGGTTTACACCAGTGCCTACTGAGGGGGTAGATAAGTACTACAGGAGAAATTAAACCCTATCATTTATTCCCATTTTAACAATGGTGAATGAATCCCACAATTTTGGGGTCAGATGTTTTGATGAGAAGTAGAACAACATTTGAAGGAAGAATTGATGAGTCAGTATTGGGGGGGAAGAGTTAAAAAAAACAATGGTCTTCCTAGATTAGTTTTTGCTTATAAACACATGTCTACATCCTGCCTACGGACAGTATTCCATATAAATTTAAATCTTTGCATGTGTATGCCATTTAATTGAGATTTACTATATAATGAATGAATGAATGAATGAATGAATGTATGAATGAATCAGTGAGTCAGAATTGATGACTGAAGTGGGAGTTGACCTCAGTGAGTCAGCTTCAGGTCTCTTTCTAGTTCTCTTACTTTATGTACTGAATATTTAGTGTATTGAACAGATTTTGCCTATACATTTTAATGGGTGCATACCACAGACAAGTAAGTAACTTTTGTATGGCAATGCATACTAGTTACCCACTTGAAAAAAATTCTTGGTGGTTTTCTATCTCCACTCATACTGAACTTCTCGAAGGTCAGGGCAGTTGTCTATTAATGCTCACATGTCAGAAATGAAGTCTGGGTCCCAAGGAACTCTGGAAAGAAAGGAAACTAATGTTCATAGGTTTCTGGGAGGTCTGGGCTTCATCTTCTCTCCTGGGCGCTCATAATCACCTTGTAAGTGACCTTTTCTTATCCTGAGAAGACGATTCAAGTTGGTTAAGTAGCTCAACAACAGCTACAAGGAGTAGAGCAGAGTTCACACTGGAATTCACATCTGGTTTATATCAGTTTGTAACTTAGGGAGG